CAATGACTGTCATCTCATTTCCCAGCTAGTCAATGCCCTGTTCCAGCCTCCTCAGACACTGCATACATGTGATACATATGTACGTGTGTGTGTGTGTGTGTGTGTGTGTGTAGGCAAAACACACACTTAATATTAAAAAATGAAATACTTTTATGGGCTTCTCATGCGCTTAACTGGTTACCCAGAATGACGTTTCATATAATCACAGTGTCTAGACTTTAAGGTTTTGTCAGTATATTTATATAGTTTATATGTCACCTTTAAAAAATAAACATTCTATGCTTGGGGGTAGGTACCACTGGGAATGTATACATCTCTGAAGATTTGAGTCCAGACTCTCCATGAATGACTTAGCAATGTTACTGATGAGGGGAGTGTTTGGGGGGGGTCCTTGCTAGATCATATACTTGCCAGTCCTCAGTGGGAGAAAACTGGATAAGAAACTTTTGGAAGCATGCTCATTTCTCATTCTAGAACGGGAAGTCCAATAGATTGTGTGTGTTGTTTTAAACAGGTGACTGAGTCACCAAACCCTATCCCTGTTGAGAGCAGATAGTTAGCTCTCTGTACAAATGTGCTAATAGATTCCTCTGTAAGTTCTGTGTTGTAGCTGCGACAAGAGTTTGTCTGTGGACATGAAGTCGATCGTCCAGAAGACTTGGTTTAGAATGGATGTGGGCGACAGGAAAGACCACCATACAACCCATTCCCCAAATCTTTTCTCTCTGGTTTCAGAATAAAATGAAAATTCATATACAAGAAGCATGGAGCTTTTATAGCACTTAGCGGTTTTGTTTGTAAGAAATTTGCCTCTGTTAATTAAATTTCTTCCTATATCCTTAAGACATTTCATCCTGCAAGGCAGATGCCATATAAACATAACTCAAAAGGCTGTTTGTGGAAGGGTGTGGCAGACAGAAGAGTTTCTTGGCCAGGGTCACACTCCCAAGGATTACCTAGTGAGACAAACCCAAAAGACGTTGAAATGAAGGTACTGACGATTAGTAGATGTTGAAAAATGTCACATTGGATAACTGGGACAGGGGACGAGATAATTTGATCATCCTTACAAAAGTCTAATAGACATTAAGGTCCTGGGGATTGTGAAGAAAGAGCCAAGAAGACTCACACACACTGGGAAATGAGTAAGGGGTTTGGAATCTAAGAAATTTGAAACAATCTGCTAAAAAATAAAAACGGCCTATCCAGGATTAAGTGTCATTAAGTGTCACTGCAACAAAGAGATGCATGCCTAGATACAGGTCACTCTCAGTTTATGGCTTTGCTCTTGAAAGTCAACAGTTTTACTTCAGAAACATTGCCCTATTCTTTTCGCACCAAACTTCTTCAAAAGGTTTATTATATGGGGTTTTCCTAGTCAGCTCCCCACACCTCACATCTCCCCAATAATCTGTTTACGTTTTTATGCTCTAGGGAAGCCCTTCATTAACTTCCCAGCACCTCTTAGTTACTAATTGTTTAGGACTTGGTGCTAGGCGCCATCTTTCCTGGGCTCTTTAAGGAGTGTCTTTTCGTTACCTTCCACCCACTGCTTTCCGATTTTGTTACTTTTTAACCAACGCCTCCCATTTGCCCTTGAGCCTCCTTCAGTCATGCTTCCTTCTCAGTTTGTAGCTTTTTTAGGATTCTGCTCTTGACTCACATCCGGGACCTGCTGTGGGATAACCACAACCCAGGCCTCCTGAGTCTTGAGTCGGCACCCTCCACCCCCTGAATGTCATCCTGTCCCGTTGAAGAGCTAAGGTCAGAAGGTTTCTGAAATATAGCGTAGTTTTGTTTACTTCTCTAATGTATAGCAGTCTGCTGAGTGCGTTTTCCAACCAAATACATGTGCTCTAGAACTATCATCAAAAAGACTAGAAAGTCTTAGAGAATTCAGTGGAAATTCACTTTATTACTCCAACCTACTCTTTTTTTCACAAAAGCACTAGTTTTACTGATACCAAAGTACACACTGTGGTAACACACACACACACACAGAGTACACACTGTGATAATACACACACACAGTACACACTGGTAACACACACACACACTTATCTGCAAATATTCTAATTTCCTGACTGTTGCTTTCTTGGGGTATATTTTTGCTTTTGAGACTGTCTCCTTATGAAACACAGGTTCGGGGTTTGAACTTGAGGTCTCCCACCTCAGCTTGATTGCTAGGACTCAGGTTTGTGTCACTATGCCCAATCTTCAAGAGTTTTGAGCTTCAGAAGTTTGAATTTTGCTATGAGACACTAAATGAAAACAAACAACTGAGCATTCTTTTGCAATGCAAAGAAATTACCTAATTACTTCTTATCCCTCATTGTGTGGTTTGTGGCATATTACTGGATCACAGTGACTTTGGATCTCCCATTTCTTTATTATCACTTTATTTTCATGAGAATAATTTGTCCATTCACGTTAACTTTGGGGTAAATAGACAAATTGGAAGTGCACATGTACTGGATCTTATGGTGGTTCTCTTTTTAATTGATTGAGAAATCACTGGACTGTTTTCCATAGTGGCTACATGTACCATTCCGATTGCACATGTTCATGAATGCACTACATTCCCTTCAACAATGGTCATTCTATTGATTTAGTTTTTATAGAAACCACTACCAAGGTTTCAAAGTGATAATTCATTATAGTTTGGATTTGCCTTTTCCCAATTAGTAATAATGTTGGAAATACTTCTGTGGAGCTACTAGTCTTTTGTATATCCTCTTTAGGGATGAGTCTCTTCAATTCCTTTGCTCATAGAAGACTTTGTTTTAAAAAATTATAATAGTTCCTCTTTACATGGTTTTCACAAACTAAGCTTCAATTTCTAATTGATTTTTTACTTTCCCTGTGAAGTTCCTCTGACTTCCCATTTGTGTTTCATCTGCATCTTAACCTCTTAAAATATTTATGGCAGTCCCTACTAATTATCCAATTAAACAAATGTATTTCTTCCCTCTGGCACATGGGGTCAAAATGACTATGCCTTATTAATTTTTACACACATAATACTAATCATCATGTTTGGCACATAGTAGGTACCCAATGATTGCTTGTTGATTAATGTTTAAGTCAGTATATTATCTACTGGCACAATAAAATGCTTATTCAGAACATGGCTTATCAGGAAGTTACTAATAGTGCTTCTATTTCTATCACTAATGGTAAATCATTTCTACTAACAGTACCCTATTGTTTCTCTCCTAAGAAAAACATGTGCTAATTCTTACCTCTGGAGGGATACTAAAATCATGTCATTTTGTGGTTTACTCTCAGAGCTGCCAGGTGAGGTCTTGGGACTGTTTTTTCTAATAGCTCCCCAGGTAATTCTAATACGTGGCTAAGGTTGAAAACCAGAAAGAATCACTAAAAACTGTGTGATTGCAAAGTCTTCCACTTTTGTGGAGCTGAGTCACCCAAGTGTCAAAGTATAGTGTCAATGATAACACACGCATGAAAATTAGTTATATCTAGGCTTTCTTAGCCTCCTTAAAATAAACTTTCTTAGCCTCCTTAAAATAACACCTCTTCTCTATACCTTGTATTTCTTATAATTAATCATATTACAATGTAGTTAGTAGGCGGACAATGTCAAAGTACCCCTTCCTGCCCTTAATTTTTAAAAGCAGAGGTAGGATAGGTTTATTAAGGAATACTGAGGACAGTAACGCCCAAGAGTAGGAGAGTCTCCAAAGTAGGAATATTCTGTTCTCATAAGAAACTAGCTGGAGGGGCCTGTCGAGAGCCGGCTTGATGTTTAAAAGCACTGGACCCTCTTCCAGAGGGACCCAGGTCTGATTCCAGACACCCTCATGTGCTCACAACCCTTTGTAATTCCAGTTAGGGTCTGATGTCCTCTTCTGGTCTCCACGGACACTGTACACATTCAGTACATGGACATACACGCAGGCAGAACAGCCATACATGCAAAATAACAGAATAAATAAAAATATAGTCATTAGAATTTAGAGTTTGAGAGCAGGTCAGGTACCAGTCATGGAGTCAGCTAAGGAGAGTGGCATATGCCTATGACTGAGATATCTCCACCAGGAATGTCATCAAAGCTTGTGACCAAGTGTTGGCAACTGCTTTGCCTGGTAGGTGTGGATTTTATAATTACTTACGGCTCTGCTTTTTTTTCTATTGTTGTTGTTATTTCTGGCTCCATCTTTGGCATTCTTTGAATGTGCATTTTTTAAAAAACAAATTAGAGAAGCGAGAGTTAAGATGTAGAACGCATGTGTCTGGCCTCAGCTGTTGAGAGCAATTCAGTGTGTCAGGCTGAGGTCAGATGGATGGAGAATGTCATTACTAAATGGTAACGTTTTTCAGGGCTTTAAAGAAATCCAAGTCCTTTTAAAATCCGCACTTACTTTATTTATTTCTTTTTTTCTTTTTTTTTCTTTCTGGGGTGATAGGTTGCACTCCAAGTTCTTGTCAGAGATTCGTAGTTTAAAATGACTTCAAATTTGGCTTCTCTAGAAATCAACTTCTGAAGCAGCATTTTCAAGCTAATATCTATAGAATGTATGGGGCTTTATTTGAGACACAGATTTCTTTCTCGGGCACATATGCTTCCTCATTTGTAAGAATGATGTGATAACGCTCTTGTAGATCTCCTTGATATGTTAACAAAAACCACGGAAGATTTTTTCCTACTTTCCAGTTCTGAGACCTGTGCTATAGGTTTCAGTTCATCCTTATTATGACTCATTAATTTACAACACTATCATATTCAGACATTTGGAATGCATCTGTATCTGATTTTGAAGTGAACCCTTGTAAGAGAAACTGCGGCCAACCTACCCAAGCTACAGTTGTGCCCAGGTCAGCCCGCATGCGCATGTGCAGCAGGCACTTCCTCCCTGAGCCAAGCCTGCCTCTATGCCCAGAGATGCTGACACAGAGACACCTGACCAGAAACACCAATGAGGAAAGGACATATAGCAGAGTCAGCGCCTGAGCCAATGGGACCCAGGGAGGGGGTATAAAGTCAGGTCTAACTTCCTTAATAAACGAGTCTGCAGCCTGCTCTGCTGCTCACTGACTCTCGGTGCCTGAGTCGTTGGTGCTACATCTTCTCACCGCCTACCCCAAGGGGTGTCCGAGCAGAGCACCCGCAACATCTGGTCTCTAGACATGGGACTTGGGGATCTCGTGCTGGCATGGGTCTCAGCCCGCTTGAATCAGGGTAGAATTTTTTTCCATCGCCACAGCTGCTTTGTGTTTGGGCCCTGATCCTTACCTTTTGTTGCTGGCAGTGCATCGTGGGATCCTACATTGGTGCAATTTGGCTTTCACTATCTGCACCCTTTTGGACTCCTCTTCACGCTCACAGCACGTTCCTGCGCCCCCTCTCCGGGGACTTGTCCGGTGAGTTGGCCCCTGTGTGTTTCATGTCCTTGGTCCTCGCGAAGGTGAGCGCGGGGTCCTCCGTCTTTTCCGTCTTTTCCTTTGTGTCTGTCTGGTACCCCTGGGGCATTAGGTAGGAACATCTACTACACTGAGGTCCGACACACTTGCTATGTGTGTTCTCGTCCAACACGCTTCCTGTTTTTCTTCTAGTCTGTCTTTGTTTTAGACCCGCAACAAACCAAAAATCCACATCAACGTAAATTAGTTTTGGACAGCATGATAACAAATTCATAAGTAGGAGGTACTTTTGGGCTGTAAAGTGCTTTATGTTCATATCCAGCGTGGAGTCAGCAAAGGCGAACGAGGGCAAGCCTGGGCTACTGGGGGAGCGTTTGTTCATGTTGCCTCATTGCTCCTACAAAAAACGGTGGGAAACAACCGACCAGAGGGTTGCGAGTTCTCTACTCACTGCTTATCCACGCTTTAAAGTGGACAGAAACCTAGCTGAGTGGTGGATAATCCAAACGAAAAACATGTTTGAATTGGTTTTGTTGGTGTTGCTCGGCGCCTCCTACACGCTTATTTTTCGGCTGTCAGCATCTTCCCGGACTCCCAAATGCTTGTCAGAGAGTCCACTTGCAGGGGACGTCGGCTGTGATACAAACAACATGCTCTTTCAATTTTTAATTTTTGAAAAGGAAATTTTATGGGAATTTACCCCCTGGCAAAGCAGCCCCTCCAGGATCTCTTTGTCTTTAGCTTTGCACCATGCCCATCTCCACCGTGAGTCTCAATTCCCTTATTTACAAAATTAACGATGGAGCAAATGACTCGCTTCTAAAACTGGATTATTTTAGGATGTGGATTTTGGATTCTTTTACCCTTGCCTTGCGCTGTTTCAGTAATTTTTTTTTAACTGGAGTGTTGTCATTCACCTTCAGGGTCATCTTGTGTGATATAAGGGGAGTTTCCAAAAACAGTGTGCCTCTGCCTGACTTCATCTGTATGGTTTAGTTAAAGGACATTGCACACATTTTTGACTTTTTAGGTGGTTGAAGTGGTCGTGAGACCTGCTGGCATGGCTTTCCTTCCAGGAGATGGAGCCAAGAAGATAAAGGGGATTCCAAAGTCAGCAGGGTGGGGAAAATCCCGCACTTTAAATGTTTATTCTTCGGAAGTGCAAACGTGATTGCTGTTCGAGGTCTGACCCTGTCTGGAGAGGTGCTCCTTGATTTCCCCCAAGTGCCTGCAAATCTGCAGTCTGTCCTCCTGGCAGAGAGGAAGATGTTTAGGTTCTGGTGCTTTCCTTTTGCCTTTTGCTTGTGTCTGTTATTAGTTTTTGCAACAGACATGATTGGGAGAGCCTACTGGGGTCGCCACAGCATCACTGTCACTCAGAAAGCACTTCCTAGAGGAGGGCTGCCACTCTGTTGCTTTTTCGGGTGGTTCTGTCTCATTTTATTGAGGCTTTGACACCCAAAGTCTGAGGATTACGGTAATTCCGTCAGGTACCTCACCATCTAAATGAATGGTGGTAGACATATAAAGCACTCTACCCATGGGTAGAACTCCACAGAAAAGTCTATTTCTTGAAATCAAGCAAACCACATTGTACTCGCTGGTTCTGGGTGTCAATTTGACATGAACTAGAGTCAATCAAAGGAAGGAGCCTCAGCTGACGAAATGCCTCCATGAGATCCGGCATCTTCTTAATTAGTGGTTGATGGGGTGTGCCCAGCCCATTGTGGGTGGGGCCATCCCTGGGCTGTTGGTCCTGTGCTCTATAAAGAAAACAGGCTGTGCAAGCCATGGGGAGCAAGCTAGTAAACAGCACCCTCCATGGCCTCTGCAGCAGCTCCTGATTCTAGGATCCTTCCCTGTGTGAGATCCTGTCCCGACTTCCTTCAGTGATGAACAGTGATGAGGAAGTGCAAACGAGACAAACCCTTTCCTCTCCGAGTTGTCCCTGGCCATGGGGTTTTGTTGCAGCAATAGAAACCCAGACCAAGACAAACGGCCTCCAGGAGTCAACTGAGCAGGACACCGATACAAATCTAAAAGTGTTTGCACCAGCGTCTGGGATGAGTTTATGGTTTTCCTGGGCTCTTTATTCCCGTTAATTCTGAGCTAAGCAAAATTTGGTCGCATCATTTTCTTGAACTCCATTGGTTTCCTGAAGTTGGTTAATTATTTGATTGATTAATTATCAGTGATGGGGCTCCAACCCAGCAGGGTTTAGCACATGTTAGACAAGGGTGCTGTCACCAAGCTATATTCCCAGTTCTTAGTGTTTTGAGACTATATAACCCAAGTCTTAAATCCACTCCCCTCCTGCTTCTACTGGCCCAGTGCTGGGATTACACATGTAAAAACCACCACACTTAAACCAGCAGATGTGTAAACTTTTCATATCTTCCAAGTTCAAACCTGATTAAGGGATCTCTAGGCCAGCTAATGAAACAATGGCTAGTACACACCCCAAATGACTTGGATTCTTACTTTCATAGCTTGGTTCACAGCCTGAGGAGTTAGACTCAGTCTATCTGAAGTTAACTGTCGTGTTCCTTATGCTATTGTAGAATTTTTCTTCATCAAATTTGAAAGCCCTTGCTGACCATATCTCTAGTACTCTGATTCTTCAATTCTTACACAAGCTTGTTGGGTCAAGGGGCAGCAATTCTCATCTGATGTTCCCTGGTCCACATGAAGCCCGGTAGACCAAAGAACACCATGCCTGTTGTACTAAGCTAGACTGTGATAATCTCATGAACCATCCTGGGGTTCTCTCCAGTATGTTTTGGACTATTACAACATCCCAGATGGTGATACACCTGTCAGTCACTGTTCGTGAGTAACTAATGTGTTTCCCTATTTCAAATCACATTGGGTGTGTTGCTTCAAAAGGAAGGGTACTTTTACTGTTAAATTGCTGAGGTTCTAGAGTTATTCACTACCGTAGTAAAATTAGTTTGTCAAGAGTCAACAGGTAAGGGGACTTACAGCCAACCCAGACAACTTAAGCTTGATCCTTGAAACCCATCCAGAAGAAGTAGAGGACTTTGACAAGTTGTCTTCTGACTTCCACTCTTGTTGTGGAAACACACACAAACACACACACACACACACACACACACACGCTGAAATGTAACAAAAATCAAGTAAGTTTATATGACTAATTTGGAAATTGGTCCCTTTAAAAAACTGATACAGAATAAAAAGAACAAATAGGAGTCACTTTGGGTTAGTGATCAGGTTACAGGTAGTGGTTGACTCAACTGACTGAGGAGACTAAGAGGTGGCCATTGTTGAATGCTGGCTCTTCAAAATGTCGCCAAAACAAAATCTTCACAGGCCAGTGTAGATGGAAGTTCCTGTTCCACCGTGTTCCACAGCGTCAGCCCCAAGTGAACACACAGACGCTATGTATTAATTATAAAACTGTTGGTCGATATCTAGGGCTTCTTATTGGCTAGTTCTATCTTAATTATTAACCCGTTTCTATTAAGCTATGTATTTCCATGTGGCCTTGGCTTACTGGAGAATGCCCGGACCTGTTATTCCTTTTGCAGCTACATGGTGTCTCTTCGTGTTCTTTCTCTGCCCACCTTTCCCCAAATTCTCATCTCCTCATCCTGTCTATCTTCCTGTCTCTCAAACAGTGTTTTACTCATCAACCATTAAGAGATACGTATATACAGAAGGACAATTCCCCATCAAGCCAGTGCCCAGCTCATGGCTTACTATATTAAGAGAGGATGTCTCTTGGTTGGAGCCCTTGGGAAGAGCTGCAATAAAACAGTGTAGGAGTGGTGGTATTCACAAAATGTAATTGACAGACAAGAGATGTATCTTTGCTACAGCAGATATGTAAGTAGGTAGCCTTCACTAATTTTGGTTTTGTCTTAGTAGGGCTTGAATAAGGAGCTGTTATATAAATATGTGCTTGTTGGGGGAAGTCTTGTGCATTTGTCAATAAAGTACTGTTGAGCCAATAGGAAACCTAGATAGGAGGGACTAGGAGTCGAGGAGGATTCTGGGAAGGAGAAACACAAGAGAGTCGAGATGTAACGCCATTGGGGTAGGAAGCCCGGAAACCTCTCCGGTAAGAGACATACTTAGATTAACAATTATGGGGTAATTACTTAAGTCAGAGCTAGCCAGTAAGAAACAAGCAAGGCCAACAGCTTCATAATTAATACAGCGTCTTGTGTGTTTATTTGGGGACTACAATGCGGCAGAGCCCAGGCGGCTGGTGGGGGACAAACCAAAGCGGCTGGCAAGAAAAAGCTTCTCTTAACATGTGCTCACTAAGAAATACTTTAAAAATACAGACTTTTAGGATCCAATAGCTTCAGAATACTTTAATATCTACTGACATCCACTGTGATCTTTCTCATGCAGATTTTCGGCGGGAAAGTTTAGTAGGTAGAAAATGATCGCTTGATTTTATCAGGTGGCAAACCACATGGCACTATTGTAGACTCTTCTCTAATTATTACTTTAGCTCTGTAATCCAACAGGACTTCCGAGTAGGCCTTTGTTCGTGTTTTTCTCTCTTCCTGGCTTCTTGTCTCTACCCATGGCAGAAGTTCTTGGGGGCATAGATTTAGTGATACACCCTCCCTGAGTCCTCTTACATCCCCTAAGCAGAGTTAATCCAGCCCCACTCTGTGCTCTGTGAGCTTTCCATTCTCTTTCTATCATAGCATTTAACATGGGATTTTTTTAATCAACAATTATCTGTGTGTATGTCTCTGTGCCTACTTTAGTCTCCAGCAATGAGATAAAACACCCCAAGTTAGTGAAACTTATATTGGAAAAAAAAAATCAAGTGTTAAATCAACTGCTTCCAGAGAATTTACATTGGCAATATCTCTGTGTGCTTACTGAGAGCAAGTGCTAGCATTAGGAGCATTGGTCAGGACATCAAAAGGCACAGAGCTGTATTAACAGCTCCCTCCAGATTTCCAGCGCTGGCACACACGTTTATACCTCATTCATTATCTATGCATGAAATG